TTACAAGAGTCACAGGGAAAACAAGCCAGTCATGCCAGAAAAACGCACCTCCCAGCTCTGAGACTCGTGTGAAATGTTCCTCTTGGGACTTTGTACAGAGGCCACTGTGGGTCCCCTCCTCAGTGACATCGTGAAACAACCAGTCTTATAAGCCACTCTTAAGCTACCCTCCAGGTAGACTCAGGGCTGCAATGGCCAATCACAGCACAGTCCCAGCACTGCCCCAGGCAGGCACTGGTCTGACCTGTGGCTGAACTCGACCTCAAAGGTCAACATCAGACCTGGAGAGGACTTGTGGATTACACGTGCTTCAGGAAACCCTCCATATATCTGATTTCTTATAAGTCACCTTCGCTTCATACCAATTCAGAGAGAATTCAAGGAAAGATTTGGAGGCAAGCACCTGAAATGCACTACAACCTGAACAATTGGTACCCTCAGGGAGTCAGGTGGCATCCCAGGCATTGGTCCCAGCAGTGTGACTTCTCCCATTAGGGGTCACCTGGGATCTGGGCAATTACAATCTTAACTCAAAAGACCAAATAATAGGGATGAGATAGCACATCTCCCCAGGAAACTGTCCACCGGGACTGGTGTGGTTCTCTGCTCAGCCTCATCAGGAGGCAGAAGCTGCCAACGAGTGTCTCTGTAGCTCATACACTTCTGGGCTTGAAGTTCAACAGTCATGTCTCAAGCCACTCGTGCTAGAGTGGCAGCAAGTTGTGTGTCACAAAAATCTTACAGAGCTGCTTAAATGGAGATTCATGCTTGGTTCCATTTGGAAGCAGGAGTTAAAATTTTGGGGGCATCATGGTTGCTGTGAACAAATACTGTGCATGAATTTAAAGGAGCGGAAGGTTCTTGTTGAGAGGGGCCCAGCCTATGGCCTTGGCTGGATGATCTCAGAGGCTGACGTCCAGCTGCAGGCAGCTCTTGATGACAACAGTGCCACATAGCCCACTGGACCAGACCCTCCCGCTGCAGTGTCAGGGCACCCACTTCCCTCCCAGCAGGTGTGCACTCTGCCAACACACACCCAGGCTGGCCATTTGACACTCCCTTGCCAGCTGCCCCTTCCTTCGATGGACAGCTTTCTTTGATGTAGTTTTTGGTTTAACAAATCAGGGAAACATGCTATGTTTTTAAGGTACCCCATAGATCTCATCTCATGTATGTACCGTTGACCTTCAAGGACACAGAAGGTTTAGAAGGTGGAGCTGGTGCACCCTCTCCTCAGGATTTCTTACTTGGGCCTCAGTTTGGACGATGAAAAGTCTCAAGTCTCAACAAAATAGGGATGTTGAAGTCTGTACACGAGTCTCCCAACCAGATGATGTGGCTTTGAGACTCTGCAGGGAATTGCTCAGTGAAGATGGACATGAAGTCACCAAGAGGGAAAGGCCTCCCAAGCCCCATGGCTCAGGGACTGCTTACCTGAATCTACTTACGGGAGGTTCCCAGATCCCCCTCCACCAGTGAGGGCTGGGCGTCTACAAATAACAACCCTGAAGGAGTGCTTTAACTCCAGGCTTCATTAAATTGAAAATGTGTTCTGTTGGGCAGCTTGAGTTCACGTGGTGTAGTGAAAAGTACCTAGGATTTGTGTTCTTATAGCAACACACCTCCAAAGCAGACCTGAGTTGCAGTGCTTTGTTAAGGCTCTGCAGCAAATGCTGTCATGATTCACCACTCCTGAGCACACAGCTGCCATTCCTGGAACTCTGCCCTGGGCTGTCCTTGGTCACCAGAGCTTGCTCTGCCGGTGTGAGGGGTGTTCAGGAGAATTAATACCCCCACCAGGTGGATGTTCTTTATCAGCTCCCAAAGTCCTGCAGCAACATTCAGCTCCAAGTTCCCACGGGTAACTGGCTTGAAAACGTGCCCTGTGCTGACTTCTCCCCTTCTCTGTCTCACTTCCCCCCACCCCTACTGGGGTTTTCTGGGGTCACTAACAAAATAAACTACTTGCACTTGAATCTTTGTCTCAGCATCAGCTTGTGAGGGAACCCAAACCAAGACAGGGACATAATTGGAGTTAGACAACAGTGTTCTGGATGGGACGACTCGCTTTCTGAGTGGTCAGTTCACAACTTAACTGTGCATTAATGCATGTCCTACGGAATATCAATAGAACTGTTGAATGTAGGAACAAATGAATTTAAAGCTCCTCTTGAAAGAGAAATATATGAAAACAGCAAGGATGATTTAAATAAACCTGATAAGCGAACTCTTGCCCTTCCCAGTATCCAAATGCTTTATAGAGTGGTAAAGTTTAAATACTGTAGCACTGGCATAGGAATAAACCGACAATTCAGCAGAACCAGCGCAACAAGCTGGAGCAACAGGAATATGAGAGGAGGACATTTTTACAAAAGTAATGTTGGAAGAATTGGCTTACTGCATTGGGGGGCAATTAGAACTCTATCCTATGCCTTAGTTCCAAATAAATTCCAGGTGGAATAAAGATCTAAAAGTAAAAATCCAAAAGCATAAAAATACTACGAGGAGATAGGGATAAGTATGTACATACTCTGAGCCGAAGAGCACTTCCCAAACCTGACACCGAAGACTCCGGAAGCACAGACTTGGGATTGATAGATTGTTCACCCCAAGAGGGAAAGCTCTGAACATCAAGAAACAGGCAGTACAGACAAACTGGGGAAAATCTATTCATGTGATGACATATGGTTATGATATCTTATTCAGTGAGAAAAAGCAGGTTGCAAGTAGGATATACAGTTTTATCTCCAGGTTGTTAACATATTTGAAAAAGTAAAAGCCATACAACAAATGCTTACAGCAGCTCTCTCTTAGAGGTAGGATTACGAATGAAAGTTTTGATTTTTGCTGTTCAGAAGTTTTTTTCATATTTTCTCAAGGAACATACATTAATTTTGGAAACACTCCTTACACAGTTTTTTTACTGACAACTAACATGCCTTATGCATCCTGGAGAGGGCCATGCGTATGTGTGCATTGAGATGGAAAGAATGCCTTTAAAACACGGAACATTCTGCTGACTGGTAACACTGAAACATCCATCTGAAGAAAGGTACCAATCAAAGGAAGAGTCTGCTAGCATGGAAGCATAAAAGAGCCAGCCAGGGGTTGTTGGCAGGTACATTCCAGCAGGAAAGTGGGTACCCTGAGGTCATCTAACTAAGATGGCGGACTGGTCCCATGGCAACAAGAATCTCCCACTAATCACTTAAATTCCTTTGTAGATTCATCTATCAGGAGAGAAATTCTTGGTCAAAATGATGTTACCAGGTCTCTTTCTTTTTGTAAATTTTAAAATTGTATGCTCTGATCTCTCTCTGGATGATTTCATCCAGTCCTATTGCTTCAAATATCATCTAAACATTTTCAACCCAACTTATTTCCTGTCCTGACCTCTTTTCTGACCTCCAAACTCACACATTGAAAAGTACATGAAATCTCCACCAGGTTACACATGAACATCTAAAATTTAATTCCCTAACTGAATTCTTGGTCTCCTTCCTCTCCCCCTACCCCAATCTGGTCCGCCCTGACTTCTCAGTCCGTGACAACAATCACTGTTGGTTCATGGATTTTGTGTCTGTGAAGTCATCCTGTCTCCTCAACTCCTTCTCTTCCTGGCAACCTCCTGACACCCACACATGCACACACGTGCAGGCACACATGCACATGCACATATCCGGCATCCTACCACTCTTCCTCACCTCGACTCCCTTCCCTCTGCCAGCCCCTCTCAGACTCCCTCCACGTTCCTTGCATTTCTGCTCTATCCTCCAAACCAGGAGAGTGGAGACACTTTTACTCTTGTCACTCTTGGATCCATTTTCCATACGAGAGCCAGAGTGATCCTAAATAAAATGAAGTAAGCTAACATCACTGTTTTCTAGAAACACTTCGATGCCTTCCAATCTAGTTGGAGGGGATACAAACTATGTAACATGGCTTGAAAGACCCCCTGCTTTGTATGGTCCTTGGGAGTTGGCCCTCTTTCAGGACCTGGAATATGCAAGGGTCTTTCTAACCTCAGTGCCTTCACAAATGCTGTTGCCTGTATGGTGCCATTCCCGTAGCTTAAGACAATTGCTTCTTTAGTCTCAGCTTATGTAAGACTCCACGTGTGGAGCATGTTAGAAGGCACCATAGTAGGGCTGGTTTGCCCTTCCTTGCTCTCCTTTCTTCCCTCCCATGGCTCATGTAGAGATTTAGAGTCTCCTTGACATCACTCAACTTGTCTCGGGTTCCAGTGATAACTGTGAATCCTGGGTCCCCACCACCACCCCCTGCCTATCCCTGCCCCCCAGGCAGAACACAGAGAGCTCTTCCTTCATCTAGCCTGTGACAAATACCTCTGGTCTCCACCATTCTGTGCTCCCTATCTCGTGCCCAGTCCTTTGATAACTGCCCCGAACCAGCCTCATGCCCACTCTGCTCTTTGTACCTGCCCTGCCCCAGGCTTGGAGCAGCAGCAGTCTGCTAGAAAGACCAGTTCCCATGCTCCTGCTGACTTTTCCTGTGGAGTTCTCCATGCTGCTCTCTCTGCCCTGCTTTATGCGCAAATAAAATTCTGTTGACTCTGGCTTTTCCTAGAAATTTGTCAAAACCGCATCCCCAGCACTGCTTCACATATCCTAACTATCATTTCAGTGGTTTGGGGGAGGAGGAGCTGGGATGTACAGCTCAGTTTGGGGGCTGCCTGAAAGGGCTGGAGGCCATCTGTAAGGCAGGCTCCCCACGGTGCAGGGCTGGAATTTATGGGACGACCTGATGGGGCTGAAAATTTGAAATTGGGGCTGTTGGGAAAATGGAGGATTATGGTGACTGGCCAGCTGAACAGTAAGAAAGATCTGAGCTGCTGGGGTTTTAGATGAAACAAACAGGCTCTCCAGAATGAGCTTTCCCAGGTTTCCCCAGAGATCAGTGACTCCCTCTAGGTTTCTCAAGATTTCCTCGACCTTTATCACCATCAGAAATTAATGTTTAACCAGCATATGAGGCTGAAAACACAAGGACAGGGAAACATGTGGATTTGAAGCTGCAGGAAGAGTGGCGTGCCTCCACACCAGCTCCCCCAGCTGCTTCTCCACATTCTCCCCAACCCCCGAAGCCAGCACATCTCATAAAGGAGGGCCGACCGTAAGGAATTTTAATTCCCAGCAAGTAAGTCTCTGGTTTTTTATTTAATCAGATTATTATTGTTGGAAATGGCAACACCTGTACCTTGACTCTCAGGTCCCACAGTACTGAGCGTTTGCTTAAAGGTTAACTCTCTTGAGGGCTGGAGACTATTATTGATCAAATGCTGTCTCTTATGTGCAGGCTCACAGAGCTGTCAGTTCTGTGGGACCCTGATGCCGGCACTCACACATGCACACACAGTCACTCGCGTAGCTACGGGTGATGAGTAGGTGCTGGGAACAATTTCATGACTGCCACTCAATAGCAAGGACAGGACAGACATGGACCTCACTCCTCTCTCCCACTTACCACTAGTGTGGTTTTGGGCACTTAGTTCCACTGAACCTCTGATTCTTTCCTGTCTAAAATTTTAATAGTGTCTACCTTGTCTCGTCCTTGTGAGGATTAATCACATAATGTCTGGAAAATATCCAGCACATGGGAGATGAGTAATGAATACTCTCTCCTTTTGACGTATGGTGTAGTCTACTCAGAGGTAAACTCAGAGTCCACCTATGCGGTGTGATTTGAGAAGAGTTAAAGGCTCTTCTCTGCCAACTTGCCGAGCTGATCACAATCCCGTCTACAGATACAAATCTTGAGAAGACATCGTCGCTTCTCCTTCAGGCTTGAGCCAAAGCAAAAACTTCTGAGTGTTCAGTTTTTGGCCCTAATCATAGCCTCATTTCACAGTGAGAGAACTAAGACGGAACATGTGAGGAAGATGGTGCGAGACCTCACAGCTACTGATGGTGAATCTAGAACTTAAGTTGTTCTTACTGCACAGTTTGGCACTTTCTGCTCTGCCATTCTGGGAAAGTGTTGCATTTTTTGCGCACTCACCATGTCCCAGGTGCTGTAGTAAGCATCACGTGAAGAGTTAACTAGAGCCCCTTGGAGATCAGGGAGTGGGGTCTGAAGTTGGGGACAAAGAGGCAGGACTGTTGATAGGAGCAGGATGGAAAGGGTGGGAGGTGGGAAACATGAAGGCACAGCTGGGAAGTGGGAATTGCAAGGCTAGACACAAGATGGAAGGCTCTGGGCTCCCACAGTGGCAGGAAGGCACAGCAGGCATTGTCTTCTAAGTCTCTTCATGCACAGCCTTGGGGGGGCCCAGTGCCCCCAGTTCTGAGGTTCGCTTAGCTGGATAGACTGAGCCTCTGTTGGGAGTCAGCCCCGAGGATCCTGGATGGCTCTGGGTTAGCCTAACGAGCCTGTGTGTTGGGTCCAGATGACAAATGGTGCCCTCACTGCCGGGGTAAGTCATCCAGAGTTTAACCTTGTTCTTTGGGCTCATGTGGCTGAAGGTATGTGACAGAGGTGCCCCGGAGAACTTTCCCTCTGAATGTCCTCAGAGGGGATTTATGACCTTTTGAAACCAGGAAAATATTGGTGCTGTTTTAAATTTAAATCATAACTTTCAGACTTTAAAAAGCTACTAAATAATATGTGAAGAGACACAGTCATCTGCACAGGACGCCATCCCTGAGCCGCACTACACCTTTGGCCTCCAGCGGAAGGGGAGAGGCCCAAGAATGCTGACTGTAGGCACGACTGACGAAGAGCAACAGTGTGTTCACATTTGAAGAAGGCCATTTCAGAGATCTGTTAACTTATTACCATATAAAGTGATCAAAGGTTCAGTCCACCAAGAAGATAATATAGTTCTAGACATGTCTAAACCTAATGGAAGAGACTTAAATACAAAAAGAGAGTATTGGCACAGCTATGGGGAGAAGTCGACAAGGTCACCAGCAAGGTGGAAGGTTTCAACACATCTTTAGCAGATTATAGTAAACCGGACGATAGAGCAAAGTGACAAAAATATGGTAAAGATTTAGGAAATTTCATCAACAATTGACCACAGTTCAATTACGTTAATTAAATTAGAATTCAAGAAATGATGAGCAAACACTGCTATATATGTCTGGAAATTTTTTTATAAAGCTACTACATAACTCATGCGTCAAAGAAAAACATAATAGAAATTAAATAATACTTAGATATAAATCATAATAATGCTACATTTTAAAACTTGAGCTATGTATTGAAAACGGTGCATAAAAGAAAGCATATAGCTTTTTTAAAATTCTATTTTATTTTAGTTTATTTTAAGATTGGCACCTTAGCTAACAACTGTTGCCAATCTCCTTTTTTTGTTTTTCTTCTTCTTCTCCCCAATGCCCCCCAGTACATAGTTGTATATTCAGTTGTGAGTGCCTCTGCTTGTGCTAGACTCCCTGTAATATTCTGTAATATTCTTTCTCGACAGTATGCTGGCCATTCTCAGACTTTTGCTTTTCCGTCTATATTTTAGAGTAAAAGATCTGTGTTGAGATTTTGATTAGAATCGCGTTGAATCTGTCAATCAGTTTGAGGAAAATGGAAATATACATAACATCGAGTGTTTCTATCCACGAACCGGCATTTATTTCTGTTTGTTTGGGTCTTCTTTAATGTCTTCCATTAAGCTTTCATTAAGTTTCTTCATTCAAGCCTTGCTCATCTTTTGTTAGACTTTGTTAGATCATTTCTACTGTCTTGTTCCTAATCTGACTGATATCTTGTCATGATCACTGTGGATGGTTAAGGCACCTGCCTTCAACTACACCTCATAGGTGATGGAGGCAGATTCAAGCCTGGGCTCTGAGCCTGCCGTCCGAGCCCTGTGCTGCGCCTGCCTCACGCCACTGCAAATCTTTTCGTTTCCACCTCTTAAATAAATGTCAAGTCTATCTCCTTGTTCCCACTCTCATCTGCTCCAACCCCCACGTGGCTCTCCAAGCAAAGCTGGAGTGATTTTTAAACTCTTACATTGGGCATGTCAGTGCTCCATTTCAAAGCTTTCCCTCCAAGCAGGGTCCAGACCCCGCTGGCTGTGGGCATCTTCTCTAGGTCGTGTCCACTTCACACACTTTGCAGCACGGTCACAGTTGGCAGGTGTGGATCTCTCTCTGTTTATTCTTTCATGATCTGCCTCCCATCCTGGAATGTCACACAGCAAGTAGATCTGGCTGCGCCCAACAAAAGGGCAGGCTGGCCTGCCGGTGACAAATGCGGGTGACGACACTTCGCTCAGCCACATGCTGGCTGTATGACCTTTGGCAAATTTCCTAACCTCTCTGGCCTCTGTTTCCTCATGTGTAAAATGAGAATGATGATGACATCTACCTTGTAAGGTGGTTGGGGGGAATTGCATGATCCCATGTAAAAATGCCTGTAATAGAACCTTTACACATGCTAGGTATCGTTATAGTAACTCTTTATGAAATGGAAGATTTCATTTTTTTCTCATAGCCCCCTCTCCCAGAGGCCTGTGCCTGGGTGTCAGCCCCTCATCATACCTGTATCCCTCATTTGCAGAGTCTCCATGTATCATCCGGCCTTTATCAAGGGCCTGCGCTGGGCCAAGCTGTGTGCTGGGGACGGCACTCAGCGGGGGCAAACCCTGGATCCAGCCTCCCAGCTCTGGCGAGTCCTGTACAGCTTGATGCCGTCCCTTCCCACAGAGCACCCGGTTCAGCTGTGTGGGCTGTGGACTCAGGCTGGCGTACCTCTCATCTGCAGCCCGGCCCATCTCACAAGCTGGGGCAGTCCTCAGGCCGGCTCCCCTGGGAGGTGGCGCGTGGAGCTCGGGAGCTCTCTGCACACATGAGACCTAGTCTCTGCACTGCCCCTAGGTCTGCACCCAGCCAGTGGAGAGAAGGGGAGGAGGGAGGGAGCCACCAACATCCAGGTCCCTCGCCGGCCCCACCCACCTGCTGCCTCTGGCCAGCTCCACACCCCGCAGGTCTCGGCCCCAGGAGAACACATGTTCCTTTGAAGAGATGCTCTTCAAGCACAGCCCCCTCTCTATGGGAGTTGCCGGCTCCTGACTGTGCTACTGGCCCTGAAAATGTGTGGAGTGTGCATGTGTGTGCATGTATGCATATGATGGTGTGTTCACGTGTATGTGTATATGTAGACGTGTGTACACATATGTATGGTGTGTGTGGTATACATGCACATGTGTGCACTGTATGTTGTGTGTGCATTGTGTACCTGTATGTGTATACATGAGTACTGCGTGAATGAGCATGTGTACATGTATCCGTGTGCAACACGTACATGTGTATGTGTGTTGTGTGTATGTATGGTGTGAGCATGCATGTACGTGTATGTGTGTGTGCATGTGTGCTGTGGCAGAGCAACCTACTGCCCCTCCTGGCCTGAGTGGGCTCCACCCAGGCCCCTTTCCAGGCTCACAGGGCTCTGTGCACTCCTTGAAGGAGAACCCCAACCCTGCTCCTCATCCTGCACTGATCAGCTCAGCCAGGGAGCTCCTCTTCGCCCTGTCACTGCCCAGTGGGGTAGAGGAGAGAGGAAGCCCGAACCTCATTTTGAAGAAATTCGTGTTTTGAACGCTGGTGGGCTTCATAGTTAAAAGAACAGGGCTTTGAATCATGAATCTGGGTTCAGATGCTCACCAGCCTCTGCTTCTCCCTCTGATCTGGGCTGAGGGCCTGGCACACTGAGCCTCCCATCCTTCCTGCCATGGGGGTCCCAGCAGCCCCCTAAGGGGCAGGCCCAGCATGCCACCCAGCGCTGGCACAAAGCGAATGCTGCTGGTTTGCCATGCCCAAACCGGCCCTTCTTCACCCCTTGAACGAAGCCAGGAAGCCTAGGGTTGCTCCCATGTTGCCGGGGCAGTCTCTAGGAGAACTGACGGAGTCTGGGTCCCACACGGCACACTGTGAGCACAGGGCCCCTTTTCTTTGGCCTCTTGTCCCCCATCCCCTGCAGGCTCTGCTGTCCCTTCAGTCCTGCTCTGCCCCTCCCCGCCCTCATGGCCTAGGGGGGAGCAGGAGGCAGCGGGAGGTGGGAGACGCTGCTGCCGGTAAATAAGCAGAGCAAGCCTCTGCTCTGATTGGCTTTGGGAAGGCGGACCTCTGTCTACATAAATGGCAATGACATCGTCTGTGCCTTTTAACTGTCACCGAGGA